TTAAATGAAATCTAACAGTACATTTAAATGAAATCTAACAGTACATTTAAATGAAATCTAACATCGTATTCAAACATTGTTTGCGAAAACCTACGTAAATTAAAGTCATTATCGAAAAGTAGACACTAAATCTTGGGGCAGGACGCAGTTTTTAAACAATGTAACCGTTGAAGCAGTACCCCGTATGTACAGTCAAACGGGGTGACCGCTTAATACGCAGAATATGGGTTTTGTGAAAAACGATTAAACAATGCATTAAATTTTAATGCCATAACTGACCACTTAATGTACAAAAAGTTACTTAAAAAATACCACTTCCTTTGATTTCGGGAGATAAAAATGGATGAAAATTTATTTGATAGTTTATTCTTAGCTTTCAGTTTGAGTAGTTCCGCTTTGTGTGATTATTCAGGTGGAGAACAATACAAACCAGCCGTTGGGACTAGGTGACGGGTGACCACGACCGCTCAATAGAGGTGACCGCTTGATAGAGATGAAAACCACAGTGCTTAGGGAGAAAAAAATTCAGGACTTTGACAGTAAATGATTCTACATTCCCTTCTGCTCATTACGTTAGTTTCAATCAATTTCATTCAGAAACTCAATGTGTAAACTTTTATGGAAATAATCCGTTTTGAAGTCTTTGAGTTCATGAAATTTTCCTTTTCTTCCCTAGTGGAGATTCGATGATTCTTATTTGTGCAACAGAGGGTTGTCTTCATTCTAACTGCACTCCACTTACATTGCCTGAACAATCCAGGCTCATAATCAAAATTTCTTGAACTTGTATGTAACCGCGCTGAAACGTTAACCTATGCAGTCTTCAGCTGTCTTTGGGGCAGTGATTTAGGTTGTAGTTGCATCATTATGATGGCAGAATATATACACCTTATTCTTAGCTGCAGTAAAACAAGCATTTTAGCGCGCATCACGAGCACTCACACGATCTCTCTTTACTTAAATTCATGTCATAAAAGTGAACCTTCAAGGAGTAAAGATCAGCAAATGTCTGCTGCGATAAACGTGCTCCACAGCTCAAATGAGTTCTCGTCAGCCGTACCTACAGGTAGGGCGAATTTACTGATTTTCTTTGTGGCTTTAATTCTCCTTGTTTCCCGGTTTATAATTATTTTTTTTAATTTGGCCTCAATTCCCCCTGTTCAATCTTCTGACAGAAACCAAAACGTGTGGCTTCTTTTCTTTACATTAATCTTAACTAAATCTCGTAGTGTCTGTAAACAGCTCACTAATTAACTTTCCACACCGTAATATTTCGCTTTGTGTTATAGTGTCTGACTCGAGTGTTCCTTTTTTCCAAAGCATGGTACTCTTTGGAAACATAGTATATCTCCTATTGTTGGTTCCTAAATGAAGACATGCTACATCAACAGCTTAAAAGATTATGATAACTTTATTTCAATTTTCATAACTGGATCACGAGATTTCTAAAAGCCTAGTCTATAGCTAAACATTTTTGGAAATCGATTTTCTGTTCGTGACAGCTGATGATTTACCCAGGACTGGAACAATTTTCCAAAGGAGTAAGTAACAAGGAGTAAGACAAAAAAATTAAGTGATGTAAAAGCACAAAAAAATTGTTATGAGTTAACAAAAGGTAATTCACATCTTGTCATAGTGCTTATTAACAAAACATTCAGAAAATGCATCAAATGAGTGATGAAGATTTAAGTAATAAAAATGGTCTTTTCTAGCAGAGTGGTCCAAGAGATTGGATCTGTACTAACCACCAAAGATAACCTACAAAGGAGCAAACTGGGGGAATTATTCTGCTAAGTGGATTTTTTATGCTGCATCTTTAGCTCCTTGATGCCTTGGGCCATTAAAATTTACAATACGCTCTGCAGCCCAACAGTATTTGTCATCATGCGTACAGTTATATACAAAACCTCTAGGAAGTATGACATTCCATTTACAAGTTTGCATTCCAATATATTGATATATTATTCACCTTGTTAGAGTCCACTATTTCCTCCTATCAAACTGATTTTCTATACATGTGGATCGAAATAGAAAACCACAAAATTGATAATAATAATAGCAATGAGTAACTAAAGAGATTCCTCAGCGAAAACTCCCCCCAGAGGACGTAACTGAATACTGTAAATCCCTCCTCTAAGCCTTGTGGGCGCTGTAAATCTTACATGAGACTTCACCTACAAATGAGATTTAGAATTTTAAGCTGAAAAGGGTTCCCCTTTCACCTGCATGTCAGAAATAATTTGGTCACACTCTAAACTATACATCAATTAATTCGAACTACAGTTCCTCAGAGTGAATATATCGATAAATATAGAAATTCTTTAACATAAGCTACACTCTGCACATGAAAAATCAAACAAGTGGACTGCTTGCGAGACGACTGAAATAACTGATCATGAGAACATCAACAAATTAGATTGTAGATTTACAAATCAACTCTTAGTTCTTGATCCGATCAAATACAGGTAAGTAAATGAAACCAGTCGAAACGTTTTCGCACAGACCTTGCCACCGGCTTTGCCAATGTACACAATCACTAGCTTTTGTCCTGCTTGCATTATTCCATAGAAAGAGGTTTCCCATATCGAATTACAAATCACTACAACAAGGCTCTAACATGGCGTCCGAAATATATTAAAGTTCACAAGGCAACCAGGTGGACAATCAGACATGGTTTGATGCTACTCTGGTTTACAGATTTAATGAATGTAACCGAATAAGTTACAATTCATAGACCCAACGTTTCGACACTCCTGTCTAGTGCCTTCATCAGGGGTGATCAAAACGCTGCAACAAGAGGTCCTTTTATATGATCACTAATTAGCGACCTTTTTTTTCTGACGAGGTGTAAATTGGCGTCAGGAAGCAAACCGCTATCGTCACGATTTAAAGTAGCGTGGGCGGAGTTAATATGCCAAGCCTCCAAACAAAGGCGCTGGTGGTAACGCCGATTAGTGGTGATAATTTTAGAATTATCCCACCCAATTGTATGGTTAGTTAGGCATGTGTGCTCCGATAAAGCTGTATTTTCCTTTTTGCAAAAGAAGACCGCTTTTTGGTTCTCTTTTAAACGTGTACCAAACTGACGTTTGGTCTGTCCGATGTATTCGTTGTCACAGTCATTGCAAGGAATAGAATAAATGGCGTCGGTTCGTTGTTCTTTCGTGACAGGAAATGTTGCTTGATTCGAAAAAAGCTGGTAAAAATAGTGACTCTGCGTACAAAATGTTAAACAGTAGTGACGGCTTATGTCCACGTTTTTATGGCTTACCTAAAATTCGTAAACCGGGAATTCCTTTGAGACCCATTGTCTCTTTTGTTAATTCTCCGACTTATGCAATTTCTGGTTATCTTGCGAGAATTTTGTCACCTGTTGTTGGGAATACGGATTACACTGTCAAAAATTCCTGCGAATTTGCGGATTTCATAAGAGATAAAACTCTTAGCGCTTGTGAAGAATTAGTATCTTTCGACGTTGTTTCGCTCTTCACTAAAATTCCAGTTGATCTTGCCGTTAAGGTTGCGGAGGAGAGACTCAGAGAGGATACTTACCTAGGACAAAGAACTTCTTTGCCTGTGGAGGATATTATTCATCTGCTGTCTTTTTGCCTCAAAACCACGCAATTTACATATAATGGCACCTACTATCAACAAGTTTTTGGTACAGCGATGGGTTCGCCTGTCTCTGCTGTCATTGCTAACATGGTAATGGAAGATGTGGTTAAACCCTTTTTCTGGAAACGATATGTCGATGATGTTATTTCTGCGGTATCCAGAAATGAAGCGGAGCGCCTCCTGTCGCATTTGAATTCTGTAGAGCCGTCGATCTAATTCACCCTTGAGCGTGAAAAGGATAGATATTTGCCCTTTCTTGATTTAAATGTTTCCAGAGGGGTTCAGGGTAATTTAGAGACAAGTGTCTACCGTAAACCTACGTACCCACACCGACAAATACCTCGCTTTCGATTCTCACCCTTCTATTTGCCATAAAATGTCTGTAGCCAAAACTTTACTTAGGAGAGCTGACTGTCCACCATCTTCACTCGATTCGAAGGCTGAGGAGAGGAAATATGTTTCTAATGTCCTAAAGGCAAATGGCTATACAAAAACCTTTCTCCGTAACTGCCAAAAACCGGTTACAACTAGTAACGCTCTTGATGAAATGGCGACTGGTTTTGCTATTATTCCTTACATTCAGGGTGTTACGGAACCCATCAAGAGAATTTTGAATAGCCACAAATTTAAAGTTGCTCAAAAACCTTTTCAGACTTTGGGGCATGTTTTCGCCAAACCTAAGGATCCTGTCACGAAAGAACAACGAACCGACGCCATTTATTCTATTCCTTGCAATGACTGTGACAACCAATACATCGGTCAGACCAAACGTCAGTTCGGTACACGTTTAAAAGAGCACCAGTCGTTTCATTTTTAATCAATTAAGAATAAAAGTTGTTTCTGTACTAAGATTAAAGTAACATCAACATACTTTGATAATTTTGACGTAGGATTTACTAAATAACAAAAATCTACGCTTTCGTAATTACAATGAAAAAAAAATTAGTCAATTAAACAATTATATTTAGAGATGAATTTAAAATCCATTCAGCATGATTCCTTTACGGTAACCTTCATCTGCAATATGTTCTATAGTTACAAAGGCTTCCTTCCTAATCTGCTCATTTTAAACACTACTGATAGTCGATACAGTCAAACCTTAACACTGCGGCTTCCTTGGGGGCAGAGGGAGATGGATGAATAAAAAGGGTGGTGAAACAAGACTTCAGCAAGGAAAGTCTGTCGGAACGTTAGTTAACGCCGGGTAACTAGCCGTTAGTGGACGTTCGATTGTTCACTTGACTCCGGTTAAACTGAAACATTTTTGCTCCCATACTTCTAATACATTATAATAAAATAAGGACTAACGCTCTCTGAAAGTAAGCAAACTGAAGTAAAAGATGTATTAAGTCATACAAGCCCCTAACTTTTCAGGCTAAAACTAGTATAATGTCATTCTCTATCCTAAATACGAAACTGGAACATTTTTGACGAGCGAACGCTTCGTACTACTATATGAACCGTTTTGCCACCACATTGGATTTTTCGAAACCGAGGAAACTTGAGTAAGAAAGAACTTTTCGACAGCGTGCAAGAAAGGTGAGAGAAAAGGGGGGGAGGGGAGGGGAGGAGAAAGCAGACAATCTCTGTATTAAACTTTGGATTGCCCCAGTCCTGTAACGTTCGGAGTCTCCTTATACCCGAAGATTTTATCTCTTTCACCTGGCTCCTTGCTTGGTCCACTTATATTGGAAGCACTACCTTCTTCCCCACTTGGCACGGCTCTAGGATATGAATTCCTAGTCTTAGTTTTAGCCAAAGCAACAGCCACAGTTTTAGCGGCCGCCTCAGCTGCACCAGCTGCAGAGGATGTAGCTGCAGCCAAAGCAACGACTGCAGCTTCGGCGGCCGCCACAGCTTCAGCGGCCGCCGCAGTTGCACTAGCTGCAGAGGATGTAGCTGTAACCGCTGCTGCAATTACAGCATCAACCTCAGTCCCATCAGGCTGAGGTATAGTTATATTTTCGACCAGAGCTCTTGCTGCAGCTGCTGCTTCCTTGGCAGCCTTTAGACACTTTGAAGTATTAGTGGGAGGTTTGCGAGATTTGTAAGACAGCACTATCACTGCATTAATAACAAACAACAATACAATTTTCAGAATATCATCTGCAGTTTCCCGACCATAAAATGACTGACCAACTAATACTGGAGCAGAAAAGGCAAGGCAGATACCTACAAAACCAAATGAAGCTACGCCACAACGCTGAAGAAAAAGAAAACTTTTACAATGATCTACATTACACATTTCGTGGATTACAAAAAATAATGCCACAGACGAAAAGGAAATGATAAGAAAAATCGACAAGCCCCAAGTTGGATTAATCATAATGCCAATTGCCACCCAGCACAAATGGTATACTCCTAAGGTTATGCACGCGATAAGCGGCAATCTGTTGCAAGAATACATCGTTTTACCCCATTTTTTACAGAATTTCAGCGAAATGATTGTCACAACTAAGCATTCCACGGCTATCACCGAAAGAGTAACATAAAAAACTAAAGGTACACCCTCCCATTCCTTTTTGCTGGATGACTTAACCACAGCAAAAACAATAGAGGCTTCTAGAATCATCAGTAAATAACAAAACCAAATTGCAGAACGAATCAGGGGCTTTTCTTGATTGCGAAAGCAACCTAAACAGTTTTGAGTGTTCCCTATAGAGCAGCATTTACAATACTTTTCGACTCGAGCCGCCTCTGTCAATGTATCTAAAGCCAATAGTGTTAATATCGGAATAAGCATTATGACACACAAAGGAGGACACCATAAAACTGCCTTTATGTAGTCACCGCGTCCTGTGGCCGTTATATTTGGGATATGCCCTTTTATGACACATTCTGCAGTATTTAACTTCGGTTCTCGTAAACCAGGACTTTCAGCAATATCTTGGAGCTGTTGAAAAATTGAACAGCAACGTTAACGTAAATACAAAGTAGGCGATAACATTAGTTTAGACCTACCAAAGAGTTCTTTGGTTTATAGTTTAATTTTTTCAGAAATTGGTTGGGTTCGAGTAATTTGAATTCAGATCAACAAGCTGTAGCCCGATGTCGAGCCAAAGTCTAACTTTTCTCAACCTGAGATCGGAAAACAACAGTTACAAAGTTGCAACTAAAATATATTTATCGTATAAACTACGGTGTTCTACACGGAATTCCAGCCCTGAGAAAAACTGTAACGACACACTTGAAAAAATACGATATTTTTTCACGTGTTTGATATCGCCAATCCGCTGCTGACACGTCACTCGTCTTTCGCACCACTCGGTCATGTTGATGAATGAACGGCAAAATTTTCTCGGAGTGTGGCCAATAGAACACCAAAAAATCCGTACAGCTTACAGACGTTCAAACTGTCGAGTTACACACTAGAAGAAAAATTGACTATCTATGCGCGCCCATGTATAATTCTTTCAATTGTTTCAGGGACGGGTTTGCACTAATCTGGGGATTGTAAAAACAGCGACTTCACACCGAAAACGGAGAACAGTTTTCTGTTCGTACTTCCGTGTGAGTATCGTTCTCGAACATCTACGCTGATAGCAGAGTTCGCAGCGCGCGCAGCGTAGCCCCACAGTCATGGGAAATAGTAGTAACGCATGAAGCCGAAAAAATTTGGACTTACTACCTTAGGACCGACCATACAAGGTGCTACTTTAAGTGTACGCAGCCAAGTCCATTGAAGGCACTTTCTCAGCCATTACGTAATGGAAAGGCGAAGGCGAAGGTAATGCGCAGGCGCGATTGCGTGCGTAACTTGGATACCCCATTAGTGTGCGCCACGAGACATCGGCAGACGCCAATGAAGTGCGTATTCTCAAGTTCCCAGCTTTAGTGCAGCATACATGAGGGCTTTGCGTGGGCTTGTAAATGTGAAGCCGACTAAGCAAATAATTTGCAACTTGCGGTTTCAGCGGGAAATAAAACTGGTGAGGTTGTAGTTGAACAGTAAGTCTCATTATTTTGCAATTTCTAATCAACTCGCAAAGCAACAATACCGGCAGAGCTAGAGCTTTGTCGACCGGAGGAAATTGTTATAATTCAAGTTCGTGGAGAAAGGGTTTTGAGAGAAAGCAGGCTGGAAGGAAAGAGACAGAGCGACCAAAGAAAGAAAGAAGTAAAAGGTGCAAAGAGAGTTGAGGAAAACACGCAAGAAAGTTAGAAAGGACCCTAAAGTGGGCAGAATACAGCATTAAAAACGCGAAAAGAAGAGAGGCATGTATTAGTGTAGTTTGATCGTCCGCGTGAGTGTAGTCCTGAGAAGGACTGTTGTCGGTAGTGGTGACTAACGTTTCGACAACCTGTGCGGAAGTCATCATCAGAGTCAAGTGAAAGGTTGTTGTCAGTCGAATGTACTTAGTCCACTTTGTGTACACTGATTGGTTAGTTTTGCCGTGATGTTATTGGCTGTAAGACTCAAGTGGCGTAGGTCAGTCGTGATTGGTCGGTTTGGATCCGTTAGTTAAGTAAGGTCGTTCTGTTCGGTTCGTTTGTAATGTTAATGTCGTGGATGAGTCGTTTGTACGGTGCCGGTAGTGGTTGACACCTGTTGAGGGGAGTCTGTTCCAAGTTAGTAAACCAGCTTTCCAGGGTCAGTCGTTGAAAGTAGTTGGTGCTGTAGGTTAGGCATTGCGTAGAGTCTCAGTCAATAGTGTGGTTCGTAAGTCGGTTCATCGCTCAAATAACATTCAAAGTGTTCGTTTTTTTAAAATTTTTTCTTGTTCTATCTTTCCGAATGTTTAATACAGTCGTGGTGTTAAGGGAAAGGAAGTTATCTTATGGATTATGTTTTGCCCAGAAAGTTATTCTCTCTTCAGTTAACTATCTCAGGGTTTACTTCATTCTTTTAAAAAAAATCGCACTTTGACGAAGATGTGTTGCTTTACCCTATGAACGAAGTAATGGCCTTTCCCAAAATTGAAATAAAATGAGATTGATTTAGCGATGGTCATGTTTACATTACGTCTGACGCGGTAATTTGATTTCGACAATATTTTCACGTGAGAAACCGTCAAACATCTGAAAATTAAATTACCGGCCGCAAATGTGTGGTGCAAACAAACTCACAGGTAAAATTGTGATGTGTTTTCAGCGCTATGTCTTCATGCTTTCTACTAGATTCGTTCGAACTTAAGGAAATAGTTTGAGTCACAAAACATGGAGCCACTTTCTCTTCGCTCAACATCTCGAGGCGTACTTTTTGCTCGGGTTAAGATGAACATGCTTGCGATACGATAATTTTTCCCTAATGCTGGAAACTGAAGATTCAGTCTCTGAAACTGGTAGTCATCACGTTCTGCAAGAAGCTTCGGAGCTGTGATCGTGTAATTAAATATGATCCTGGCGATTTGAGCTCACAAGCACGCTATTAAACACATGATTAGCGCAGATAATTGTTGTTTACAGTTTTCGAATTCAAGAGCAGTTTTTGAGAGTCTGTTTCTGTAACCCTCCTGGACATTTTCTCTTGAATTCATTGAGCCAGAATCTCGGAATTTCACAAGTGATTATGAGCGATAAATTCGTATGGGCATCATAATACTGGAAGTTTTGCTAACACATCATCAGTTTACAATTCGTGAACAATTTCTGTAACCTGCTCGGATATTTTCTTCTGAGTTAATTAAGTCACACCCTCGGAATTTCATCAGTAATTAAGAACGATAATTCCATGTATGTAGCACAAGTGAAGCACATTTCAAACTTTCCATACTATTTTAGGAAACTATTCTTAATTGACTCCCGATAAATTGGCCTGGCATAACTCGTTGATTATTTTACTATTTTATAGCCCCAAAAGCCCGGCTTATGACTCTGGAGGTACTGAACTGACTTAATATATTTGATACACAAGGCACCCTTAAAGGAGGAAGGTTAGAATAAAATTACTTTTAAAAATACAAATAAATTTAACACTTATACAGCGCAAAATTCATTATAAGTATATGATCTAATGCGCTTTCGCGACCTTATATTACACCAGGTTTACATGTGTAGATAATTGCTTAGAAAAAAATACCAGTTATAGCTGTTTTCAGAAGCACAGATATGTAGGTAATATGCTTCTGCTTTATTTTGTTGTAACGGGTTTCTTTTTATATAACATACATCTATTCCTTTAATTTCCTCCCTAGCCTGCCTGCATATAATTAAATTTTTATGTTTGAATTCAAGTGTGAGAAGATAAAAGAGAAGAGTTACAGAGTTCTCCTGCCAGACTGAATTCAGGTGAGAACACGAGTAAACTACTTAATGTCATATGCTTCTCCTGAATCTTTAATTTTATTGTCCTGGTTTTTATTCACAAAGCCTCTTTTATATCTCTGTGTGCCAGCGTATGATTAAACTCATTAGTAGTGTAATGTAGTTGAAAATCATGTGGTGCACTACATTAACATTAGGCAATTTTTTTGTGCTTGAATTGTATTCCACCAATCAAATTCCATTTTGCCGTTTTGGACTTCGCTCTATCATGTGTCATTTTCTTGTAAACAGCCTGCATTTTATTACGTATTCTAATTGTATTGTCCAACCCCACTGGAAAAAAATTCACATGGAACTAAATGCTACTGATATTGAGTTTTCCACGCAATTATCCGGCGTTTGACTTTTCCTACGAGTTTAATTCGTTTTAAGCTACCTTGGTCTCGTCACACAACGCACTCTCTCTCTCAAACGGGAAATAAAGGGTGCTGTGTGACAAGACCAAACAACGGCTGCGAAGAAGACAGCAGTAAGCGTAGCGCCGATGCATTTCATTTTAACTTAGAAGTATTTAGACAATAGAATGTAAATGCCTTAGCTTTCTAGGTTAAAAAAATTAAAATAAGAGAGTTGTGAAGACCGTGTCTTATTTTTTATCCTCCTCTGGATATTTACTCAAATAACATAGTCACTATCAGTCTCATTCACGCTCACTGTCCATTGAGCTTGTGGAAAGATGATAACTTCAGTATTTTATTAAATGAGGAAAGGAAAGCCTTCTCTCTTACCACAGATATTATAGTTCTTTTGTGCATGAGCAAAATTCTATTTTTAAAGCACTCTCTTAAGTTTAAAATTAAAGGCAGACCCAGAGCCGTGGTTTGCTACCAATTCTTGATCATTATTTTCTTGTAAAAGAGTGATTTTTCCCATCGTCAGTACAAACCTGGTCTAATTAGTACATGAAGGTTATTGTTCCAGGCAAGCTAACCTTATAAATTAGTTTTTAAAAATTTCTTGAACCTGTCATCGTAATGTTTACTCAATTTTACCTTACTAACCTAAACTGAATAAATTTAAACTTAAAATTTATTTGTTCTCCTTTTGAGGTGTGCATCAAAATTATGAAGGCATCACAGGCTTGAACTACAGGTTTATGGGAAATCTGGATGCGAGGTATTTTTATCGTCAAAACAGGGATTAAAAATACTTCGAATGACCTTACTACGTGCCATACAGTTACAAGCAGGTGTTGTAAAAAGGTTTGCTTAGCTTTTCCATTAATACACATTTCTTTTTCTAAGAATCTTGTTTATCTGGCCTACACCGAAATATAATTTTTCAACCAAATTTTCAATTCTATCGAATATTCTAAGATCTATTAGTATCAGTTATTATTCATGCAATTAAAATAATTACATTAAATCTTGCAGATGTAGGGCACATTATTTTTTCCTCTGATCCTACTAACAATTCATTATGAGTAGGAATTGGTATTAGCTATAAAAGTATAGTCAAATTTAACGTTTTGTTCACAGTCTATGCATCAAATTTATGTAATAAAATATTGTATCCTTCTTAAAGCTAGTTTATCAGAATAAGAATGAGTTACTAGGGACAAGTATGGCTTTTCACAATGATAGTTTCCAGGCTTGAAAAAATTCATTGCCATTCAAAGTCCTCAGTTGCTTTGCCCTGACAGACCAACCTCATCAAAACGTTGGCAACAGGAATGATTAGCAAGTTAATGATACAGACAAGATAGCCTATTCCCACATACATCCTCCTCAATCTTTTAGCTTATCATGGACATGGCATTTCAAACATGGTGCGTATGCCAAAACTTTTCCATTTCTCTCGCCAATTATTTTTGTAGTGGTGTTTACAAGTTGTGGAAAATGGTTTGGTTGAAATATAATACAAAGACTAGCCAGTAGACAATAAAATGAAAACTTTTTACATATCAATAAAATTTATCTTTGTGTTTCATGTTTAAATCTTGCAACCACTCCACTTTCCAGTAAATTTAATTATATGCAAACATGAGAAAATATCATCTAAAACTTTTCAACCTATTTAATATAGCCAATAACAACATCAACTCAACTTTTATACGAAAGAGAAAACTTGATTGATGTTTAGAATTAATTTCTGTGTACAAATGAAATGCAGGTATCACATGTATCTCAAGTTTTCTTCAAATGTCTTCATGGTCGAACCCTAAGTCTCTCTTCCTCATCAAGTTTTAACTATGAAATTTTAGTTCTCACTAGTCTTCCTTTAAATCAAACTTTCACAGTGCAAGAAACATGCTAGACAAATGTCGTATTTCAGTAGCTAGAGTTGCTAAGATCATGGACAGTTGGCTTAAAGACATCTACATTATATGCAGTTACAGCAGAGGTTACCAAATTAAATAACAGAAAAAAATCTCAAAAATAAGGAGTGTATTTCAAGCCAGAGGACAATCATAAAACAAGAATAACCAGAGAGAAAAAGTCAGAAAAAAAATCACAGGTTCAAACACGAGTTGGAAATGACTTTTCTTTTTAAATTTCTACGCTTATCATAGGAGGTTGGAACGTTAGGGAAAAACAGTGGGGCAAGCAGTCAAATCTGGCAACTTCAAGAGAAGATATAGGAGATTCTGGCGTATTGTTGTATTGACTCACTGTTCTCACGTGTATACGCTTCAATCAACTGGTGATGTCTTAACGCAAAGTAGTTTACCGTCGTTAATTCTTTCAATTTCAGCGCATTTTCCCAAACCGAAATTATTAATAGAATATAAGTTCAACTGATGCTGACATCGTACACTTCATCTGAAAAAGAAAAAATTACCTATCTTCAAAAATCTGCTCAAAACATCAGGAACAATAACGAAGGTCCTCCGCTGCTTGAAGATACCACTGACTAGCATGCATGTTGATCGCTTTGCAAGTTGTGAGAAAATCTTCCACAGGATCTAGACCTCGTCAATTCTTCCCCCCCTCCCCACCCCCCAGACTGGTCCTAGATCCTCTTGAAGAAACTTCTTTAAAGCCAGTGTTGAAGAGTTTTATCACAGTTTTTATTGTAATGAAGGGCTGGAAAATAAACTAACAAGAGCTCCGCTTTAAGGCTTGACTAAATCTATATATTATTTAACCATCCACTCTAATACGGATAAATTAGAAAACGAAACATGCATCAGTTATCATAATAATGATCCTCCAGTGGCACTGGCTATCATCATTATCATTGAACATGTGGAGTGGTGTATATTATAAACAAAACCTAAACTAAAGATGAATTACCCGGAATCTGTAATTCAATGTACTTGAAGGATATCCACAAAAAAGTCCGTTTTCTCGTCCGCCGATGGAGTACTAGTATGCGCACCTGATAAAGTAGATACTTGCATCTTTTAGTTCTAAAACCATAAAAGCCAAGCCTAATTGCTGACAATCTACTTACCGCAGCCAGTACGTCTTCAATCCACTTCTCCCTTTCTTCAACAGAAACATTACAACAAAAGTGTGGAATTGTGATATTAAGTTTCTGTGTACGAGGAGTCACCAGTATTGAACCCAGAGACAAGATCTCGAGGAAATAAGCAGGGAGGGCAGCATATAAGCATTTCAAACTCCATGTGTATTCAGCCACATCTGCTTTGTAGTTTTCCTTTGAAGCATCTGTTCTGGATCTATTTAGAACGTTCAAATTTACAAATACACGAACGGATGAAGAATTCTTCGGTGGATATAGAGCTGCCTGGATTTTATAGCTGTTCTCGTCTGACACAAGGGCATCATAGATGTCTGCATATCTTCCAATACATGAAGTGACGTTGATGTTGACACAATCTCTAATCAAATCTGCTCCGGTGCTGTTGACCATGATGCCAATTAAAGTGACATGAATCAAGATGAGAACACAGAAAGGTGGTCTTGTCGCAAATGCCATATTACAATCACTTTTAACAGTACCTAAAAACGGGTTAGAACTATGAGTGTTGTTACTAAGTGCGACTACTCTAACCAGGTCCATCCAGCGCTAGCTAAAACACACGTTCAAAGATTTGTACCCCGAGGATTGAAAACGTTTGCAAATGTGGCAGGGGGAAAAAATCAAGAAATACAAGAGAAAGACATAGGACAAACATATGGAAGGCCTTTCGCTTGCCTATTCCACGCGCTTAGTCAGGAAACACTGGAGTGATAGAGCGAGTAAGTCCGACGTCAAGTGAAGTGAGAAGAACTTCTCTATGTTTTGAAAACATAGGCCCGCTTATTTAACGAAACCGCGTTCTAAACTACCTTTAATTTACCTGAATCTTTTATCCATACGTTTTTCTTGTGAACAGTATCAAGAAAGCCAAAATCTAGCAGTAGAACGAAATTTATTTGATTATATGAACCCTCTTATAAAGAATAACTAAGGCCTACTCCTGGGTAAAACCGTAGTTCGGGTTAGACCTCGTGTAAGTAACCGGCCCATAGAGTTTTAGGAAGATCCGTTGTTAACTAGCAGGGTGCCTAGATTAGCCTAACCAAAAATGTAAGAGATATACATGTAGCAAAGGTAACAGGTATTTTGCCGCCAGAGGTAAAAAGCGTGTTACGGAAAGAAACTGTAAACACAACAGACATAACAAGTAAATTGCGAAAATTATTCTGATATGGATGAATAAACGTAAACATTGGCTCAATTAGTTATATCCTTTTTGCGCTGTCATTTGTGATATAATGGTTATAATTAAAGACATACATGTCCAATACGCCCAAACCGTTACGATTCGGTCGATGACGAGTCGACACACAGGAAGTGGAGGGTGGTAAGCAATTTGTGAAAATGAGTAGCATGGTATACCTGAAGTCGGGGGGCGTGAGCAATGTGTGAAAATGAGCAGCATGAAAAGAGAAAATGACAATATGAACCTTCCACGTTTTAAAGCGTGAAACGGCCGGAAGTTCATCGTCAGAATATTATAAATATAAAACTAAACCTTTTTCCTTCTTAAAGCATTAAACAGGGGCATTAAATGCTGACGAATCGACACGATTCGTACGGGTCGACACGACTCGTCATCAGTAAAGTCGATCCGTCTCACCGGAAGTTGATCGCAAAAGAAGACAATATAGACTTAAGAGTTAAATTGGGGTATTCATTTTTGACGAATCAACACGATTCGCACGGGTCGACTCGACTCGTCATTAGTAAGGTCGATCCGTTACACCGGAAGTCGATTCGCAAAAGCAGAAAATACATACTTTATAGCGTTAATTTGGGGTATTCAATGTTGACGAATCGACACGATTCCAAGTGCAAACCCACTTCCGGTATGACGGGTCGACGTCAGCTGTGACGAGTCGTTCGATTCGACAACATTTTCAACGACCCTTGGTAGTTACTTGCGGAATGTTTTCTAACTGTCTTGCAAATCGACTTCCAGTGTGACAGGTCGACTTTGACTGAGACGAGTCGTTCGACTCGAGTCGAATCGAGTCGATTCGACAACATTTTCAATGACCCTTGGTAGTTACTTGCGGAATATTTTCAGTGTCTTGCAAATCGACTTGCGATGTGACGGGTCGACTTTCACTGAGAAGGAAACGGAATATTTTCTAAGCGTCATGCAAATTGCTTCTGGTATGACGGGTCGACTTTAACTGAGACGAGTCGTTCGATTTGATAACATCTTCAACCCTATTTAGTGGCTTCTTGCGGAATATTTTCTAAGTGTCACGCAAACCCACTTCCGGTATGACGGGTCGACGTCAGCTGTGACGAGTCGTTCGATTCGACAACATTTTCAACGACCCTTGGTAGTTACTTGCGGAATGTTTTCTAACTGTCTTGCAAATCGACTTCCAGTGTGACAGGTCGACTTTAACTGAGACGAGTCGTTCGACTCGAGTCGAATCGAGTCGATTCGACAACATTTTCAATGACCCTTGGTAGTTACTTGCGGAATATTTTCAGTGTCTTGCAAATCGACTTGCGATGTGACAGGTCGACTTTCACTGAGAAGGAAACGGAATATTTTCTAAGCGTCATGCAAATTGCTTCTGGTATGACGGGTCGACTTTAACTGAGACGAGTCGTTCGATTTGATAACATCTTCAACCCTATTTAGTGGCTTCTTGCGGAATATTTTCTAAGTGTCACGCAAATTGACTTCTGGTGTGACGGGTCGACTTTAACTGATACGAGTCGTTCGACTCGAGTCGACTCGAGTCGACTCGACAACATTTTCAATGACCCTTGGTAGTTACTTGCGGAATATTTTCAAAGTGTCTTGCAAATCGACTTCCGGTGTGACGGATCGACTTTAACTGAGACGAGTCGTTCGATTCAAGTCGATTCGACAATATCTTCAACCCTATTTAGTAGCTACTTGCGGATTACTTTCTGTGTAAGTGTCGTGCAAATTGACTTCTGGTAGATGGGTCGACTTTAACTTAGACGAGTCGTTCGACTCGAGTCGAATCGAGTCGATTCTACAACATTTTCAACAACCCTTGACAGTTACTAGCGAAATATTTTCTAAGTGTCTTGCAAATTGACCTCCGGTATGCGTTTCCATCTGAATGAGAGATGGTTTATCAGATTTCCGGTATAACGAGACGCATTAACCGCGAATCGATTTTCGGTAGAGCGATTCGCAAACTCCTTTTGACGAATCGTAGCGGTTTGGGTGTATTGGACAACCCTCATTACTGCTACAAACAACAGGATGTTCGGACGGCTCGACGAAATCAGTTCTTTTCACTTGAACAAATTTAACCCACTGTCGCTTCAAATTTGCGTCGTTTGGAAATTAATGCATTGTATGTCCGGTTTTAAGTAATCAGGATCAGTCGAGGGTATCGAACTGGTTTATTTTATTCAGGAATTTTAATTTCTCGCAATTTGGCCTAAACAAGCAGGCGTATTTATTGTACCAGATACCAACTCTGTCTGAGTTATTTCTAAGTGTCCAGTCTATTTTCGACCTGGGTGACGCGCTGTCTTTAATGGCAAGTGTTTCGAATTTGGAGGAGCTTTTACAAAGTGAAAACGGACTTTTGAGAAGAAACGAATTTTACCTTTGGTGTACTTGAAGTATATACGAAACAGCTGTGTGAAAAGAAAATGTGCGATTTTTGGGTTTACATTCCCCTTTAAGCCCACAAACACGTTCAAGCATTTGTCTTCAACAGGGCACCAGGGCCTTCCTCTCGCGTAAGCTGGCGAGCGCGAGCGGCCAAAACCATTTCTTATGTGCAAAAAAGTATTTGTAGTTTCAAATAGCGAACTTTCACGAACCTAGGCCTGTGTGCACGATTAGCGAACTCAATCCAACCAATCGACCTCAGTTAGTACGAGAAGGATTGGAGAAATGAAATAAATACATGAGTTGAACATCGCAAACTGAGCACTTTTTCTCAAAAGCTTATGCTATACTCAACTGCCACAAACTTAAGGTATTCACGACAGGTGCAGTGATTCTGGTAACACGCATGGACTTAAGCTAATTTCAGCGCTCCGGAGAAAGTTCTTTTGACATCGTGCTTCTCAAGCTGAACATGAAGGCCAAGACGCTGGACGTTCGACTGTTTCACTACTCATCTATCATTTTTAGATTGGAATTCGAACTAAAGCTTAACTAACATAATCATAATACTTCAATTTTTAACAAGAAATTTATCCAAGTGAGTTGATTTGCTATTGAGTTCTTCACCCACTCGAAATTAGTGGAACGATTACAGTTCGATTGATTCCGATAGGATTTAACAAGGATTGAAATGAGCTAGAATAACTTACCTGTAAGCAAAAATACACATATAATGAGCAGCGCACCAAGATTTGGTCATTAATCGTGGCTCGCTTCAAGTTCCTGTTCAACCAAGAAGCCTCTCGCGCAGTCCTTCCCAACTTATCTTGGCCCATGTTTCACAAAACAATCTCGAGCCTTGAGTCATTTGTCAGCGGTATAGCGCGTAGCTTTACACTCCCCGGCAAGGTAAAAACGGAGGCGAGGAAGCCCTCGCTTCCGTTTTTACTTTACGGGGGAGGGTACGGCTACAAGTAGGCAATGAGCCGTACGGTCGCCACACCGCTGTCAAGGAGCCAAAATGATCCTGGGCTCGACTCGATAGAATGTGCTGTTTGTTTTGATTTGTCACAAATTGAGAGACGTGGTTCGACGTGGTTCAGGACAGTTATCGAGGGTAAAAATTTATAGAGAATGACCTTAAGGCAAACGAGAATTGCTTCGAGTTAGCGGAAAGTTTGAGTTATCAAGGGTTCGAGTCACCGAAGGTAAAATTGCAGTAAATATGGGAAATCCAGGGGAAATTGTTTTTTGTTCGGGTTAGCGCGAGGTTCGAGTTAGCGAGGGTTGGAGTTATCGGGATTCGACTGTATACTATATAAACAGAAAGGTTACTTTGGGTATTTGTAGTGCATATCAGTATTCTTTCTCAAACCGTTCTTTTTCGCTGCATCTAATTTCAGTGACATTCAGTTAATATAAACGTCAATTTCAGACAAATTTTCCGAGCTGTAGTATAAACCAATTAAATCGCGACTCGGCTTCTTTAAAGTGAAGCATAAGGAAAATCTTGTGGAAAAGCAGCGACGATTTGATAACATCTAAGCGCTCCCATGCGCGCTTATCATGCGCCCCTTCGCTAGTTGATTCACAGGCGGTCAAAGCTCCAGCTGTGAGAGGATCGTATTTACGAACGCTTGAAGGAATTAAAAAATACTTCAAATTCTCAGTAAAAATACCTCACCTTAATTCCACAGCGTATCACTTGTTATCTGGTCGCTTACTTTGATGAAAACAACTCTTTTTTAGCGAGTTGTCTATTTCGAGGTTTCCCACGTACATAAGAAGAGCCCTTTTCTTATGTACGTGGAAAACCTCGAAATTTACAACTCGCTAAAATGGGTTCTGTTCATCAAAGTAAGCGGTC